TTGGTCCTATTTTTTCTTCTATGAACTTTATAGTTTTAGGCTTTATATTCAGGTCTTTGATCCATTTTGAAGTAGTTTTTGTATACGGTGTGAGGTATAGGTCCTGTTTCATTTTTTTGCAAATGGATATCCAGTTTTGCCAGCACCATTTGTTAAAGAGACTGTCTTTTCCCCATCTGATGGACTTTTGGCCCTTGTCGAAAATCAGGTGACCGTAGGTGGAGGGATTTACATCTGGGTTCTCAATTCTACCAACAACATTCTTTAAAGAGATGAAAAAAGTAATCATTAACTTTATATGGAAAGGAAAGAGGCCTCAGATAAGCAAAGCACTACTGAAGAATAAGAATAAAGTAGGAGGACTCCCACTACCTGACCTCAGAAACTACTATACTGCTACGGTAGTCAAAACAGCCTGGTACTGGTACAACAACAGATACATTGACCAATGGAACAGAACTGAGAACTTAAATGTAAATCCATCCACCTACGGTCACCTAATCTTCAACAAAGGCCCAAAGTCCATCAAATGAGGAAAAGACAGTTTTTTTTAACAAGCTGGCAAAACTGGATGTCCATCCGCAAAAAAATGAAACAGGACCCATACCTCACACCATACACAAAAATGGATCAAAAACCTAAATATAAAACCGAAAACTGTAAAGTTCATAGAAGGAAAAATAGGGTCATCGCTACTGGCCCTAACACACAGCATTAACAGGATACAAACCATAACTAACAATATACAAACACCAGAAGATAAGCTAGATAACTGGGATCTTCTAAAAACTGAACACTTAGGCTCATCAAAAGACTTCACCTAAAGAGTAAAAAGAGAACCTACAGGCTGGGAAAAAAATTTTGGCTATGACAAATCCGTCAAATGCCTAATCTATAAAATGTACAGGAAAATCCAACACCTCTACAACAAAAAGACAAATAATTCAGTTAAAAAATGGGCAAAGGATATGAACAGACACTTCACCAAAGAAAACATTCAAGCAGCTAACAGATACATGAGGAAATGCTCATGATCACTAGCTATTAGAGAAATGCAAATCAAAACCACAATGAGATATCGTCTCATTCTGGCATTACCAGCACGAATCAAAAGAACAGAAAATAATGTTGGGGATGCTGTGGGGAGATCAGAACTCCTATATACTGCTGGTGGGAATGCAAAATGGTACAACCATTCTGGAAAATGATATGGTGCTTCCTTAGAAAGCTAGAAACAGAAATACCACATGATACAGCAATCCCACTCCCAGGAACATATCCTACAGAAATAAGAGCCATCACACAAATAGACATATGCACACCCATGATCATTGCAGCATTGTTCACAATAGCAAAAAGATGGAAACAATCTAGGTGCCCATCAACAGATGAATGGATAAACAATGATGAATCTGCAAAGCATCTCACAACATGGATGAATCTGGAGGGCATTATGCTGAACGAAATAAGTCAATCACAAAAGGACAAATATTGTATGAGACCACTACTATAAAAACTCATGAGAAGGTTTACACATAAAAAGAAACAATCTTTGATGGTTACGAGGGAGGGAAGAGGTGGGAGAGAAAAACATAAATAGACAATAGATAAATGGTCACTTTGGTGAAGGGTAAGACAGTACACAATACTGAGGAAGCCAGCACAATTTGTCCAAGGCAAGGTCATGGAAGCTCCATAGCACATCCAAACTCTCTGAGGGACCAAATTACTGAGCTGAGGGCTGTGGAGACCATGGTCTCAGGGAACATCTAGCTCAACTGGCATAACATAAGTTTATAAAGAAAATATTCTACGTTCTACTTTGGTGAGTAGCATCTGGGGTCTTAAAAGTTTGTGAGCGGCCATCTAAGATACTCCATTGATCTCACTCTGTCTGGAGCAAGGGAGAATGAAGAAAACCAAAGACACAAGAGAAAGATTAGTCCAAAGGACTAATGGACCACAACTACCACAGCCTCTACCAGACTGAGTCCAGCACATCTAGATGGTGCCCAGCTACCACCACCGACTGCTGTGACAGGGATCACAACAGAGGGTCCTGGACAGAGCTGGAGAAAAATGTAGAACAAAATTCTAACTCACAAAAAAAATAAAACAAGACTTACTGGTCTGACAGTGACTGGAGAATCCCTGAGAGTATGGCCCCCGGACACCTTTATACCTCAGTACTGAAGTCATTCCTGAGTTTCACCCTTCAGTCAATGATTAGACAAGCCCATAAAGCAAAACAAGAAACTAAATGGGCACACTGGCCCCGGGACAAGGACAACAAGGCAGGAGGGGACAGGAAAGCTGCTAATGGAGAACCCAAGTTCGAGAAGGGGAGAGCGTTGACATGTCGTGGGATTGGCAACCAATGTCACAAAACAATATGTGTATTAATTGTTTAATGAGATACTAGTTTGCTCTGTAAACCTCCATCTAAAGTACAATGAAAAATTTTTTAAAAAGAAAAATGTGTGACCAACACAGAGGGTGAGTGAGTGGAATATTTTCTGAGCACTTGTACAACTAAATATCAATTTTGCCTTCACACATGAATCATTTAAAAGAATACACCAACACCAACTTCACTGCAGACCAGGCCATAGCCTGCTACAGGCAGTGTTTTGAACTGGAATTCATAAAATTGAACATCTGCAAGTGAACATCTGCAAATGATAACATCAGCAAATTACACATTTCAACACTGTATACAGCACATATAACTAACAATACGATGTTAAAAAAAAAAAAA